GTTTTGTGTGTGAGCCCTGCACGGCCCTCAGTATGCGAGCAGACTGACGTGCATCTCCTAAGGAGCCGTTTTGTGTGTGAGCCCTGCACGGCCCTCAGTATGCGAGCAGACTGACGTGCATCTCCTAAGGAGCCGTTTTGTGTCTGCACTCTGCACGGCCCTCAGTATGCGAGCAGACTGACGTGCATCTCCTAAGGAGCCGTTTTGTGTGCGAGCCCTGCACGGCCCTCAGTATGCGAGCAGACTGACGTGCATCTCCTAAGGAGCCGTTTTGTGTCTCGCCAGGCGTACATACGAAACTCACTTTTACTGTGTGCTATACGTGACTGTGTGTCGCCCATATATACAGTACAGAAGAGGATACGTGTTACGGCAGTGTTTCCCAACCCGGTCCGCGGGGACCACAGACAGTCCTCCCAGCACACCTGAACCAAACAATCAGGAACACTCAAATACCTGATACAGGTGTGTAGGGCTGGGATGGAGCTAGATATTCTGGGCCACCTAAAAAAACGCCACCTTTGCCTCTCCCCCCCACTGCTGCAGCCAATTTTCACATATGCAGGGCCCCTACTGTGCCCCCTGGTGGTGGAAGGAAGAAAGTGAAATGTCTGGGAGGGTCCCTCTGGATTGGGTTTAGAAACACTGTGCTATGGGTATAACACGCTAGGATAGAAGGATAGATAGATAGATAGAGGGATGGATGGATAGATAGATAGATAGATAGAGGATGGATGGATGGATAGATAGATAGATAGATAGATATAGAGGATGGATGGATGGATGTTGTAATATGCATATCCAGAAGTGTGGAGATGATATGCTTGTTTAGCCACCACACAGTGATTCATGCTTGGTTGTGTCCAGAGGTTCTCTGCCAAATAGTCAATATGGTGGAAAAGGTGAGAAACCCTAAGTATCTCTGAAATTTGAACCTCTCTACTTTCAAAGCAATCTATGCGCCTTATTTACATGTATAAAGACCAAGTGTGTGGAAATACTGATGCCTCGTTTCATCACAGTGTAGTCACATCACAAGAAAAGCTTAATGTTTATTGGGAAATCAAGCAGGCAGGTTTGCTTCAGTGTGGAATTCCCTCTGTAAAAAATGTGGGGCGACGGTCTGCTGGGAAATGACAAGCAAAGAGAACCTGGAGCAGCTTGGGGCAGCGTCTCCCTGTGTCCCCTAGAGACCCCCTATATCCCTCAGCGTCCCCCATGTCCTCTCTAGTGTCCCCCCCCTTGCTCCCCCCCCCACACCCCCCTGGACCCTAGAGCCCTGCTCCTTGATGGTAGTGCACAGTCCTGCCCCGCAGATCCAGACTTCTGGACAGGTGTGCTAACTGACCTTAGAGGGTGGACCATCTACCTCTGATTCTGCAATCACAGTCATGGAAGAAATGAGTATGGGTCTGCAAAAGGTCCCGAATCCAGGCCCCCATCCCACTAATAAAAGTAAAAACACTGAAGCCAGCCCCACCCACGGTATCTACATCGTGTAACGAAACTTAAACGATCTGCTTTCGAGAAGCAGAACCAGAGCGCCTGAACAAGCGATAACCAAGGAAGAGCAGGCCGGGAAGCAGGAGGGCTAGCAGAACCATGACGGCCACGTAGCCGGAGTGGGGGAGGGGCGGCCTGTCAGGGGCCTCCGCTGGAATCATGTTGGTCATGTTCAGCATGTAGCCCAGAGTCCAGCCAGCATCACTGTCTCCGATCTGAAGAAGGTCAAAAAAAGACCTCATGCACATTAATGCAAGACAAGCTGTAATGCCTGTGCATGCCTGCCTTAATGACAGAAGCTGACTCACAGTAAACCTGCAGCTAAGAATCGCTAAACACTAACAAACAAATACTGGCTAACACAGACCGTGAAGGATTTTACACTTTTCAGAACAGATAAGATTTAGTGAAGAAACCTTTGTGGGAACCAGGGGGGAGAATCTGGGATCTTAAGCCCAGAGACCTAATCTGTTTGTGGGCCATCATATCGAATTCTCTCTCTCTGCAGTTAGGATGATCATAACATTACGAAGGATTTGGGAACCGCAGCCCTGGACTAGCACTGCTGTGATGGATGGAATTCTGAAACTGAGAGCATAGTTGTAAATACACCTGAGCTAAAGAAATCTTTCAGGGCTCAACTGAATCGATTTGGGGCTTTAGCCCCAGCTCCACGACACTTCTGGTGGGGACGTTACAGGGTTAGGGTTAGTGAGGAAGCCTTTGTGAACAAGACATTGTGGGGACCTTAGATTTAGTGAGGAAAACACTATTGGGACATTTTGTGAGAAAGACTTTGTGGGGATATTAGGTTTAAGTTTAGTGAAAAGGACTTTGTGGGGATATTAGGTTTAAGTTTAGTGAAAAGGACTTTGTGGGGACATCTTCTACCCAACATGTAGATGGCAGCAACACACATGCAGTCAGTTAATGAAAGGTAAGTCAAACCTTTTTGATGAACTTGATTTCCTTCCAGGTATCCGAGGTGAAGTTGTATCCATCTTCAAGCAGCGTGAGGATGTAGGTCCCTGAGAAGCAGTATTCAGACAAGTACTTCTCCTTAACTTTAGGGTGGTCCTTCTGGATCTGCAGAGACATCAGTCAGCATGGACCAGCACAAGCCCAAGTTTTATTCTTCTGATCAATACCTTCACTGTGGAAGCTGACAGCAAGTGAAACCGCACCCCACTCCCCTCCCACAGGCCCCACCCCACTCCCCTCCCACTACTCCTCAGGCCCCACCCACTCCCACCCCACAATCCCACAGGCCCCACCCACTCCCCTCCCACTACCCCCCCAAGGCCCCACCCTACTTCACACTTGCCTTTTCCCAGGGCGTAGAACAGTAACTAGTCAGCCTCTGCTTTGCATCATCCAGGGACCCGGAAGTCAGGTTCAAGAAGTTCATCACAAAGAAGAAAGCAGAGAAAGCCTGGCAAGCAGAAGATGTGACGACACAGCATTTACACAGAGTCTGGGTCAGACAGCATTTACAGAGAGTCTGGGTCAGACAGCATTTACACAGAGTCTGGGTCAGACAGCACGGTCAGCCAGTACCTAAAGGCCTTGCTCAAGGCCCGACAGTGACATCATTACTCTGCAAGCCTTGGGGTGCTTATCACACAAAAAACACAGCACAGGGGCAGTTTAGGCTGATTCTAGGGTTCTTGCACCTCATCCTAGAACGGCCATGTAAAATGAAAATGATCATATCTCCGGTTCCTCCTTTAGCTCAGTCTGCCAGCCAACACTGTTACCCCATAATGCTTACCCCAAAAGTCCCCTGCAGTGGGGGCTGGAAGACCCCATTGAAGGAGCAGCTCCTCTTGGCACACTGGCTGAAGTTGAAGAGGCCTTGTACATGCTGATGGCAGAGACTCCAGTTCCCTGCACCTTGATGGATGAAGGTTCCAGTTGGAGTCCCTTGCTTGGATACACAGGGGCTGTCATAGACATCGGACAGGTCCTTCTGTTTCCTGTAGCCCGTGTGGAAGCAGTGGTCTAGCAGGGTGCTGTTTGTGGTCTCTGGCAGTGCCCGCAGCCTGTGACTCAGGGCCAGCCTGAGCGCCTGGTCCTTGCCATAGCACAGGAAGCTGTGAGTGTACACGTGGTACTCATTCCCGTACAGGCGGAAATGGATGAAGTCCTGAGGGGACTGTGCCTCCACCCCAGATACAAATGTGATCTGAGTAGACGCTCCACCCAGGTCCAGGGCCCCCATGGTCCTCTGGGCCTGGAAGGAATTGGGCCACATGCTTATTACATTATGTAAATTACTAACTGTGAGAACATCTCTGTGCCACGTTCCATCTACTGCAAGGCCGCAGTTCCTGGACCCACCTTACGGAAGTTATCACCAAGATAATTGACAGTGATCCAGCCGTAGGCGCCCTCCTCCTGGCCCGTGATGATGCAGGCTCCCTGGTAGGACAATGGGGTCACCTTGAGGAAGTTCTCTACTGATGCCAGGACCTGGTCTGAGGCTGACTGGTTCTCCATCCTGTGGGAGAGGCAGAGAAGAAAAGAGTTACTGCGGTCACCGTGATGGCTGCACGGTACCCTGCCTTTTACTCAGCCTCTGCTCTTGCTCGCTTTATTGAAATATTTATTTGGATACTCAGTCGGGTGCCAGACAAAATATTCTCTAAACCGCTTTCAGGTCCTAGAGGTGGACCTGAACAGCTTAGAGACAAACTGCTTTGTCTAATGATTAGGTAAAGCTCCAACATCATTGTGTTAATCGGTTTCTTTGTTTGACATTTTCAAGACATTTCAGTGTCCAATACAGCTATACGAACCGTTAAAGATTAATGACTGAGAGAAGCATACGGACCAGGGGGTGAGCGACCTGCTCAGAGACTGATGTTTTCTTCCTCTGTTTCTCAGCTTATACCATTACCATAGAAACCACCAGGTACACAGGTTACCATAACAACTTCATCCCACCATGTCCCCTGGCACACGGGTTACCTTAGCAACCTCATCCCTGCTGTAGCTCCCAGGTAGACAGGTGTCTCCTTTTGTCTCTCAGTGGGAACCTTGCTCCTGGCCTCCTCCATGCACTCCCCGAGTGCGCTCCCTGCAGCATCTGGGCTGCCAGCATAGCTGGAGATACCCTTGCCTGGGGGGGCAGGGCACACCAGCCATGCAGAAAAAAATTAGCATTCACATGGGGGTCAGAACCACCCCCCGGGTGTATGAGCTGCATTCCCTCAACGTTTTGATTTTTAAAAATCTGAGCAGTGAAAGCTGCTTGGCCGATCAGCTGCTAGTTAGGAGATGCCTGGATAGGTTAGCAGTCCCACCTATACATACAGACGTACAGTTACGCAGACATTCAGGCACCATTAAAGGGATGTTCAGTCAAGCGGTTTGATATCCTCATTAAACCTAAGCCAGTGTGCATCACAGCAGCCTTTCATGGGAAGATGCATGCTGCCTGCAATTCCACTAGGGGGCGTCATCGCCAAGAGCCTGGCAGCTCACTCTCTTCCCACAGACCTCACACCAGTGTCAAAACACAGATTGGCGTCTATGATCCCAGCATGAGAACTGGGTGGCTGGGTGACTCAGCCTAAACTCCCAGTGGTCACTGCGGGGGGGATCAGTGCTTCTCTTTGTCAACTTTGTTTTGAATTTCATATCTAGATACATAGTATCACAAATCTCATACATCTACATTTGTCACCATTCTGGTTGGTGCCACCGAGATAAGTATTCATAATAACCGGCCTGTCACAGATAAGATAAGTATTCATAATAACCGGCCTGTTACAGATTAGATAAGTATTCATAATAACCGGCCTGTCACAGATAAGTATTCATAATAACCGGCCTGTCACAGATAAGATAAGTATTCATAATAACCGGCCTGTTACAGATTAGATAAGTATTCATAATAACCGGCCTGTCACAGATAAGTATTCATAATAACCGGCCTGT